TGGTCCTTATTAATTATTAAATGGGAGAAACAGAATGGTTCGGTTGTACTGTTATGTGTATTGTCCATTGTTATTTATTGTTGTTGTTGTTGTTGTTGTTGCTGTTATTAATATATTTCCGTGCAAAGAACAGGAGTTATCATTTGCTATTCTCAGACATGTAACATCACTCACTGAAAACCTGGCCCCTTAAGCCATAAAGAGTATGAATTTATGAGCTTTCCAGTGGTACCTCAAAAACCTTGACTGAGAGTACAAATGTGCTTGTTGTACAAACAAAGATGCACTATTAACTCTAGTACAAATAAACACTTTTAGTGTTCTTATAAAATAAACATTTAAATGGGAGAAAAGATCCTTTTTTCTCCAATTTAACCACCTAAGTAGTGCAAGACACATTAGTATATATTATAATGCAGAGACCATAAACCATCAGTATTCTTCAATGTCCACAACAGTACAGAATTTTGTTAACATAACTTCTTCCTTAAAAAGAATAGAAATTACAGTTTTGCAGCATCCTGCATGTACAAAAGGATGATTATGCAAATGGCTGTGAAATCAGCTGCATTTTTAGGTAAGTAAATTATCTAATATCCAGTGCTTGACATTGTGCAAGAAGTTTTGAAACCCTGATCATCTTACAAAGCAGAATGACACTAACTTCAGAAAAGCCAGTCCATAGAGCAAAATCAAACACCTCTCCTTCTGTGATTGCCTTTTTACCATTTAGCTTTCACTTAAGCTGTTAGCATACATTAAATAACCCACCCAGACCATTTCATGTGAACATGATATGGAGCACTTTGGAGATGTAGGTCTTAAGTCAAGAGAAAGCTCTCCCAGTCAATCCAGGCATTGGCTTTTCAGCCCAGTTCTTGGACACCTCATTCCAGGATGCTTTGTTGATCTCATCTTCTGATAAATCCCATGCCATGACATTAGTTTACTTTCATGTGTCTGTGCCTTCTGGCAATAAAAGGAGCATTAAGGCTGATAATAGTCACAATAATAATATTTCTAATACCAAACTCAGCACTACTGCATAATAAATGATGTTTATTTCATGACAGGAAAGTTACAAAGGGAAGTGTTTCTGATCATGGTTTTACGCTACTCAGAGAATTGATCTGTCGGGACAGCAGGCTTTATCCTGCAGATGCATTCATTTGTAATCCTCTCAAGTATTCTACCATGTGACTTCAGGAGATAAAAGAGCCTCCTTTAAAGTGTATTTCCATAACCCACATTGAGTGATGCTAAGTACAGTGGTATCTCTCCCACTAGATTAACTTCGAATTATTGCAATTTCTCTCATGAAAGAGACTGTAAGATAGCACAGCAACTCTCTACACATTCATTCTCTGGGCAGAGGACATTTTATGTTAATTTACTGATTTATTTTAGACAAGAATTAGAGCAGTAAGTGACACTAAGTAGAAAAGTATAGCAAAACTCAATATATTCTCATCTAAGAAAATCTGACAGCAGGTCCTTTAATACTGTTCTGTTCCCAGCACTTTAATTAGTCACTTCATTTCAATAAGAAAATTCTTTCATGTTGTTCTGACCACATTTCAGCCTAGTTATTATGGCATTTCTTTGGATATTGGCATTACGCGTTGTCATTACAGATACTGAAGTGTTTGCATGAAGCTTCACTAGCACACAATACGAATTAGTGTCTCTTCCAGAAATCTTCCAGTATAAACATGTTCAAAAATCAAGAGGAAAGAGAAGCAGGAAGCATAAATAAACTAAATAACTTTTATTTTATGTATTTCTACTATCTGTTGCACTGAGCTGTCTTGTTAAACACCCATGGATGATGGTAGTGGAAACCTGTCTAGTTACACAGTGCTAAAATGGTTTTGTCTCTGTGATTTAGATGTGTTTAAAGTATATCAAGAGAAAATGAATGCAATATACAGGATTGTCAATGAACGTTAGTAGAACTGCATTTGGAAAAGAACTTCTGAAAACTATGTTTGCAAATGAAACCTCTTAAATTCTTGTCTACCTTATTCACTTGTTGAACAAAAGAACGTCTTTTTTTTCCTATCTCATGATGATGCAATATTTGCTAAGGATGTCCATCAGAAAAGGTCAGAAAAAGGACAAGAAATAATAAAATTAAAGTATTCATTGCAAATGGGAAATACTATTTTCCGTATTTTGCAAATCCATCCTCTTTTGGTAACCTTTTGGGAACACAGTGCATACAAAAAAAATTTCTGCGTGCTATCTGCAATATGACATGTGATAGCAAAGGTGTGAATACCTTAACAAAATCTAACTTATTTATCACGGCTTGAAGAGATCTTCATTTGAATTTGTTGTCCGTCGTAAGATTGCATATAGCTTTTAAATTGTCTCAAATATCTGCAAAATAATTTCTTGTATATGAAGGCAAATATAATTAGTGGTTTATAACATAAAGAGCACTGGAGTTCCAGCTACAGTTTGCAGGTCTTTGCTTATTACTATGAGATGGTAAGAATTTGCTGTAGAACTTCATTTGTTGCAGTGGACTCAGTTATGTTTAAAAATCAAATGGTCATAGTTATCCTTTTTCCATATGGTAGAAATAATCACACAGATGATAGGCAATAAAAAGACTCTTACAGGAATTTTCCTTTATTTTCCTTCAAAATATCATTTTCTCTATTTTGTAGTATACATCAGCTGCCTATTGGACAGTTAATCAGCTGGCACCCTTCTTTTGAATATATATCTTCACCAAGTAGTGTATTAAAACGCTAGGGAATCACTCCAATTGCACATCAACGTCATCCGAAACCAGAGGAGTGTGACTATCATTAACCAACAGTTTCTCAATTCTTAGTTTTAGCTGAGAATTTTGACAGAGACTGGGAAAAGCTTTCACTGCTATTTCCTTCCTCACAAGTCCCTGTCTTTATCCTCTGTCTCTAAAGCAGAATGAAGCTTCTAATGTTTTGAAAAAATGGATTTTTGCAAAATTCTGTAGCTAGTCTTTTATGGACCAAAAAAACTTTCATACCCATTCTGTAATAAATGAGCTTTTGGAGGCTACCACCAATGTGTTATTAATGCTGTGGATTCAAAATATCAATATAAAGCTAAACCAAAGAGCTGCATGAAAACTTCAGACTACCTTAAACTTTACAGTAAAAGTCTCCACTCACTCATGCTAACACAGATACAAGAATCAGCTAGAAAAGGTAGTAAGATCATTAATTGGGAACATTGCTATAGCAATTACAAGCTGTTACTCTCTCTCCTTCCACATTCAGGTGGACCCAGGTAATCTATGAGGACTAGACAAATGTCCCCTAAAATGAGAACCTCATTATGCAGGAAAGGATGTGCCCAGCCAAGTCAATGGGTGAAGTAAACCACACAGCAGCCACTGTTAGAAAGGGCTTTACAGCATTCAAGTATGCTTATCTGTGGGAGGGTGGAAACAGAGGAAGAGAAATAAAAACATCACCTGTCTTCAGGAAATATCCAACAAGGAATTAGGGACATCTCAGATATAGAAAAAGGAATACTTCCTATAGAACCAGTAACAATTGAGCTACACAGCTGGAAACCTGCTCTTTTATTTCTGCCTCTGAAAACACAGGAGCTCTAAATCTCATGTCTTCTGCAAAACAGCTCAGAGCCAGTAGAGCAATCTCAGCCACTCCAATCTGCAGGAAAACTGAAGAGCTTCCAGGAAAACCACCTGATCCCCACTGACACACAGAGCTGCTATTATTTACTGCTCAGCGAGACCAGCAAGTGATTATACTCAGTGAAGAAAAATGTTTTAGGTCTAAGTAATTATTTTACCAATGACCTTAAAATATCCCTGTTGTTAGTTTTCCTTGCAGAGGGCAGTCTCTGTAATAGGATCAGGCAGTATGTTTCTTCATGCCAAGTCACTGAATGCTAAAATGATTTGTCATCTTTTGCCACAGGCCATTGCCTGACACACACATGCCACAGTCTAATGTCTCGCCTGCTTTGACATCAAAGTGCCTTCCTTCGGCCATTACCAACAAGAAGAAAGGCAAACAATGGCAGAAACTTCTGTTCTTTCTGAGAGAGTTTTAATTAAATAAATGGTCTCAAATAGCTTAGTGGGACTAAGGCAGGGGGAAAAACCTTTCATCATAAAATGTATTAAATCTATAAATCTTGCTTACTCTCCTCCCCATGCAATTTTTTTTATTTACTTCACAGTCACATTATTTCATTCTCTGTAGAGATTTATGACAACATTATATGACATCTCCTGGGCTTTCACAGCCTATCATCTTTTACAGCTCACTGATAATGCCATGGGCCATAAAAGACAGATTTCATCTCATTTTACAAAGGGGAAGGGGGAAAGAAGTCCTATGCAGATCCTCCAGTTGCAGAAAGGTTTTCACATGCTGAAATATACCATTTTGAATTGGTTCACTGAGACTTTTGGTATCAGCAACTCCACCTGTTTTGAGGGATGGGTGATTTCTACAGCATACTCCAGAGTCCTGATTTCCAAATTCAAATCAACGAGGCAGCGATATAACAAAAGGTGTGCTCCAAGGTGGGATCAAGGTGTAGCTGGGGCTGCAAAAACTCTGGTTTGGTGGGGTTGTCTTCAGTCTTCCTATTTAGATGTAGTTGGTCAGTGCTATTCACTGATGTGTCTTCACAGAGCTGGTTTAAAGAGCCCATACTTTTCAAGAGAAGTCTCATAACAAAATGCTCCCTTCTTGTCCATCCCATTTTGAGGAAAATAAAATGCAAAAAACTGTATGTGCCAGCCAAACCATTGCAAAATTCTTTATTCAAATGAAAGAGGTCCTTCTGATGGCAAGTGGCGTTATAATTATAGACTAGAAAAAAGCAAGATCAGCAGCTGCTGCTGCTGCTGCTGCTTGCGTTTGTTCCCTCTGTAACTGACAGGACAGAGTACTTGGCAAAAACAGGCTTCCAGAAGTGGAAAGACATTTTAACCCCTGTTCTTGTCAGTCCACTTCTCCTGGGGCTCGGCAGCAGCAACCCCTTGCTTCAGGTTAAGGGAAGAGCAAGGTGACTATTGCAGATCTGAAGGGGACTTTGTTTGGGACGTCTGAGAAAGAGGAAGGGTCCAGGATTTACTTTCGGGCTTGGATTGCCGAATCAAGATAGCAGGTCAGTGGATATAGTGTGAGCTTAATATGTTTTTACAGCTGGCTTAACTCAAATCTCTCTCATTCACTTTCTCTCCTATGCCATGAACCAAGAAATAAGGTGATACAACGACAAGGAGTAGGTCTGTGTAGAGGCACTATTTATTTATACATTCTGTAATGTGCCTTTCATGGTCAGTTAGGGAACACTGATGGCTGTTATTTTTTACTGTGGTTTCTCTCTGAATCCTAATATATCCTGAAATTCTCAGCTAGACAAAAATCCCATTTACAGTTGAGCTCAATATTAATGGGGTGGGACACACTTATATTTTTAGGTGTTTATGGCTAAAGTCTTCTGGTGATCTTAGCAAAAGTGGAGGAGTAATATATAACTCACATTTCAACCTGTGGTTGAGAAAGGTTCAGAGAGGGAATAAACACTGAGCAAAAGGAAAAGCAACATCACAGATATGAGTCAAGGTGTCCACAGGCAGCAAATGGGCATGACTTGTACTATGTCCCCAAAACTCACAAATCCATACCAGCCTAGCCCTACATCTGCTAATGAAGTTAAAGGCAACACAATTAATAGGAACATTTTTCCTAACACCAGTGTCTGTGTTATCTAATGTGCTCTGTCCTTCAGCCCTGGCCAAAACAGTGCTCGGGAAGGAATGTGCCAGGGGGCATCATTATGCTTTGCTCTTCCGGTTCGTCTCAGTTTTAGCTTTTTAATTTCCTGTGGCCATAAGTAATGTAATGTTGGAAGGACTCTCAGTCGACATGCTGCCCATGAACCAAGGGCTTGGGACCACCGTGCAAGGGCCAGGCTCAGCTCAAGGCTTTACACCAAAACTTCCCATTGCATAGGGAGGCCATACCCAAGTGGCTGTAGTTGTTTCCAGACAACAGAATTCTCCAGAATTCTATCTTTCATAGTTTTGTACAGTCCAAAGCATTCTATAATCACCTTATCTGACCTAATGTATACTTTAGGACATTGAATTATATTATCCTGAAGTCCTTATATGAACCTAATGATAAATGCTAAATAAAGCATTTGCTTAGCAGGAAACTAAAACACAGTGCACTAAGGCAAAGTGGGGCAAGGAAACCAAGGCATCAAAGCCTGACATTGCTCTTACAGTCCCACTTTTATTTGCCCCATTTCAGAGGCAGAAAGAAAAAGCAGGGGCATCCAGTGCCTCCAAAGTTAATAAGAAGAGTTTCTATTCAGAGCCAATGGCATTGAGTTAAGCACTGAGAGAGATGGCTGGGCTGTGATTAAGTAAAATGTAGTTGCCTGAATCAAGCAGACAAATGAACAAAACTCTCATTTCCCAGTCCAGTGCAGGGAGGAATATTCTTAATCCTGAATCCTATTATCATTACAGCTCTGCATTTGTGGCCATCCACTAGGCCTTGCAAAACAGGATTTGCTTCAGTAGAGGAGGAGAACTCATTTTGTCCAGCTTAGCTACTGACCAGTTACTGGCAGTTCCAGTCACTAGGATGCCTGGGAGGAGTTAATCCTTCCTGAACCCCATGTGCAGAAACTGAGAACTGTGTTTTTGACACTAATCACTGCCTTCCTGCAGAGCTGCAGATGCTGTGAGGGTGCTGCAAGCAATCTTGTTCCCTCCATGATGCACAACAGAAGAAGCCACACAAAAAGTTTAACAGATACCCAGATACTAGGGGAGACAAACAGAGCCCTCAGATCCAACCCTGTGTGTCTCAACTCTGGGAATTCTTCTGTCCAACTATCTGCTCTCAGCTTAAAGACCCTAAACAACAGGGTGTCTATCCAGTCCTGTGTTCTGACATTTAGTTGCCCCCATAGTTAGCAATTTATGTTTTGCTTCATCCTGTGTTTGTCTAACTTCATCGTCTCATCATGGCACTGTGTTACACTGAGAGTCTGGGTTCCTGCTGGGTTGTAAGTCCTCACATTATCAGACATCTTTTCAAAATCTAAGAACTCCCTACATGCAGTCAGTCCCACTGGAGATTTGCATTATAAATTGCATACTAGTGGGAAGATAGAGACACACTCACTAATGATATGGCTTGAACACGCACACTCCACAGCATCAGTGGCCACGGCCTAAAGCCTCCTAGAGCGATCCAAGGAAACTCAGTGTATTTTTAAGAGTATTTTTTTACCCTATTCCTCCCCTATAGCCCAGCCACAGATTTCTTTCATTGTTTATAAAGCCCCATTTCTGATGGAAGATGGACATTTTTTCCATTTTCTTAAGCGTTGAATCCTGACCACAGGATTTTTAGCAGACAGGACTGTATTTCTGCATTCCAGTCAGCCAGTTTGGCTCCTGAATTGAATTTCATGGAGTACAGCAATGACAAAAAAAAAATTTAAAGATCTGTGCTAAAGCTCAGGGAAAGGAAAGCTATCATTTGGATGCTAAAGAGTAAAACCCATGTGTCTTAAAAAAAAACAACAACAAAAAATAATCTCCAATCCCAGACTGGTGAACCTCAAGTAGCCATTCTGCAGAAGAAAAGAGACAGCCTGTCAGTAGTACAAGGCTTATGGTGTCTTTTCCCTACTGATTCCCTTGGCAGCTAAAAGAAAAAGTGGCACTTTTACTGCTGAATTTTAATGGCATACTTTATGCTCTGCATCAGAGGCAGAGCCAAGTTGCATAAAATACTACCAAGTCATCTATTAACTAGGGGTTCAGATTTTTTTTCCCCAAGTATAAATGTCCTACAGTGGCATCAAGAAAATATAGACAAGAATCATATTTGTGAAACACAGTAACTATCTGGAGGTGCTCATCTTAGTTACTCCCTTTTTGCATGCTGTATAAAACTTCTTTCACCCACGTTTGGAGTTGGGAGTTTTTTGTAAGCACATCAAAATTTCTGTAACATCTCCCTATACTGGGTAAGCAAGTAACAAACCCAGCACAAAGTATTTTACCTGTGTACTTTCAGTAGTACTTTAATTATACTGTGTTGCACCCTGCCTACCTGAGCAACCCTATGGGCTGTTTTGCAGAAATATTGATGAGTAAGTCTGGTAAGTCAAGGTGAGAAATAACAGAGTTCTCCAGCTGATCTCAGCTGCTGTCGTAACTGGTAATGAAAGAGGCAGTCTCCAAATCTCATTTGTTTTTTAGATTATTATAATTACCAAGACAGCTAAAAATACTGGCTGGGGAGGAAGGTGCATTTGTGTAATTTAGCTTTATTTCTCTTACCAAGAAACTGAGAAGTTTTGAAAAAAATTTCAAGCAAATTTACTTGCTATACTTTGCTCACAGCAGACGGGAGCAAACCGAGAGTAACCAGAGACTTCAGAGGTGCAACATGTCTCTGCCACTGCCATGCAGGAAAGTGGCCACATTCAGTGCTAACTGTTGAGTTTGGGTGGTCTTTGAGGTAAAGCCCAAATACAGCCTTGCATCAGTCAATCTGCAGGGACAGATTCAATAGGGCTTGTTACTACAAGATTTTTATTTCTCTCTCTCTTTCTATATATATATGAATACACACACCATGTATTTGTGTACACATACTTTTATATATTTATATGTGCATGTATGTCTATGTATCTATCTATACAAGGGTGCATTCAGGCTAGGATATGCTGTCTAAAATGTTGTTGGTTTCCTGCTTCTCTTCTACTGTTTCTAGGCACAGCCTGCCAAGACGATGACAGTCACTTATTCCAGCAAAGTAGCAAATGCCACTTTCTTTGGATTTCACAGATTACTCCTAAGGTGGAAAGGCAGCATCTACAAATTGCTGTACAGAGAATTTATTGTTTTTGCTACTCTTTACACAGCGATAAGTGTATTATACAGGTACACTCTTTCCCATCTCATTAAATGTTATACTGAAGTTTCACACTTCCTAGTGTTAGGCTGATAAGTGATGGGGGGAGGTTACTACATAATTATTATCTTTTCCTTGGACTTTTTCTAATGTGCTTTCATTTCCATGTTTAGTTTACTGTTCCAGATAAAGTATGTAGAGTGTAAATTCTATCATATTCAGCTGATTGTATTTTCAGCCCAGCACTGAGCAACTATCCTACTGAAGTTACACTAAATAAACACTCATAGCTAGCCTAGGTTATACAACCTTTGTTGTTCTGATATTGAGCTGGAGGAGGTGAGTGTGCCTCCCTGCTTTAGATGATCAGTTATTCTCCTTGCAGAACTCTTCAGCTAGTCAGTAGTAATTTCTTTAACAACCCCAAGAGGTAATAAGTTGAGAGTCAGGTTATATAGCCAGGAAAAGAAAAGTTTTGCTTAAAGCTAGAAAGGCATGCAAACTTTATTTTTAGGCTTGCAGAGAGCCAAGGAAAACTGCATGGAAGCCAGATATGGTTATTATCCGTGTGTCATCCAGCACTTGGGAGGATCAGTTAGAAGAGTTGCTTCTTCCACCAAGGTGTGAATTAAACAGCTATATGTCAGATGGAATGCATCAATTAGCACAGTGAAACTTTTAATTGATGAAGTACACTACACAGAAGTATCAAAATCATGATTCAGCTCTTACCACGATCTGTAATTATACCTGTCTGCTTTTTATGTGAAGCAAGGAGAAAAAGAGCTTCAGTTTGTCACTAATCAGTAATTTTCCAAAATGTTCAGTAATCTGTACCTGTAAACTCAGAAAGAAAATTACAGTATTAATATGTAAGGAAACAACAGAGTCTCACATTCATTTAAATTAATCTAGTTATTGCCTGAAATGTCAGGCAATTGAAGACCATGGTAAATACAACATGGGAAGCTTTCTATATGTGCTCCAGCTTTTATTGCACAATTGTAAACAAATCCCATCAAATATTTGTTATATGTTTCTTTTCTATGAAATCAAAGAATAACTGTAATAATATTCATCTATAAAATTTTAAAATAAGTTTATATTTAAGCTTGTTGTATTTTTTCCCATGGGCAGCAGTTGACATGGTCCACTCAATTTGCTATAATTTGGTGAATATTTTCCTCACTGCAAAATAAATACAGTTGTTGTATTTTTAATCTTATGGAAAAGAAAAATTTCAAAGGAGTCAGAGTAAAAAACTTGTACAACAACATGACATTTTCAAATAGGAGCAATTAGAGATTGGTAAACCTTTGCAATTCAAGCAGACCTGAGTATTATCATTAAGTACCCCTCTGAAAAACGAGAGCAAACTCTACTTGCAGACTTACAGCTTACTATCATCTTTGATCAATATGAGACAGCAAACTGATTCTCCCCAGGTATGTTGATTCTAATTAGTAGTGCCAATCAACTTAGTAATAAGAAAACAGCAAAGAGCAGAGAATAATACTGTCTTCTCCTCCAGTTTCTTTAATACATGCCAAAAGTGTTCAGCATGTTACCTTTAAGAATTCACTTGAAGACATTAGCCAAGGTTGCTCCCCGTTGCACATACCTGATTATTTATACATATTTGCACTTTGTAGCTAGTGCCAGAATATTATGCAAGGACAAATACATTTTATTTTTGCTGCAGATTTTTTCTTACAGGTAGCCAAAAACGGTTCTTTGAAAAATTATCAATTTACTGTGACAAATATGCTGAACAAATCCCGGTAACTTTTGTGCTTGGTAAGTACCGGTTACATGTGAAATTATTCTCCAACACTGTCTCTGTTCATGCATTTTGTGAATGTCCATGCATGGAAGCATTTCAGAGCTGAGGGGCATGTGGGATGTTAGAGGCTCACAATAAATCATCAGCTTCCAACAGGTCTCCTTAAATTCAAGTTGCTTTTGTCACATCAACACTTATGCTTATGTTCTTAATATACCAACAAAAAAAGTTTCCATATACGTGTGTGTATATATATATTTGTATATATATTGCCAAATAACACTGATACGTTATGCCTGATCTTTCAAGGCACTAAATCCACTTAAGTTTCACTACAGAAGAGGAAATTTGGAGGTTCATAGGTCTGAGATACTCAGCTGGAATGTGCCATTAAGTTGCAGTGTCTATTAAATAATTAGCACTGATTGCATTCTGGGCTTTGACATGACTTACTGTGTTTATTCTGGGAAATGTAGCAGCTAACTGTTATGAATAATACTCTGCAAACTAAATCAAAGTAACCCAAGCAAAAATCCTGATAGGCACTGGACTTTTTTTTTTCTTCTAACCCCCAGGTTTCTACGTTACTTTGGTGGTGAATCGCTGGTGGAACCAGTTTGTGAACTTGCCATGGCCAGATCGCCTGATGTTCCTCATCTCTAGCTGTGTCCAGGGCAGAGATGAATATGGGCGCTTGTTAAGGAGGACTCTCATGCGTTATGTGAATTTAACGTCTCTGCTGATCTTTCGCTCTGTGAGCACAGCCGTGTACAAAAGGTTCCCCACCATGGACCATGTGGTAGGAGCAGGTATCAGAGTCCTGCTCACAAAATTGCTTTCCTTTCCCTCGGGAGGGGTGGGGGGCTAAGGGAGGGAAGGAGCCAGACTCATTTTCATTTCCCTCTGTGGCCCCATGTGTGCCCCATACCAACCCATGTCAAAGCAGTCACCTTTTTGTTAGTGACTTAAATGACGGGACCTTAAGCATGCATCTTTAATACTCCTAAAGTCTTCATTTAGCAACACTATGGAAATCAAACGAGTCTAAGACTCTTATGTGAATCTTTTTTCAGACACAGTGGAGGCAATAGGTCTGCCCCAAATACTCTGGCATATGGAACAGGTATAACATTCTCTAAAGCATGAAAAATAACAAAGCTGCAATATAGTATGATGCAGTAGAAGTGGTAACTTGTTATATGGTGTTGCCTCAATGTCTAGGATACAACTTTTTCTCATGTAAGCACTTCACAAGTACAGCTTTATCTCAATTTATTTTAAGTAGACTGCATTTTAAGTAGATTGCACATTTTAAGTGTTATAATTTGCTTAAAAAACCCCTCAGCCCCAAGGGTTTTTTCTTTAAATTTAAAACCTTACCTTAGTTTTTCAGCAATAAATGTCCTAAGTATTAAACATGTTTTCATTTTCTGTGTTTTGATAACACAGTGAGTGTGATGATGGTGAAGGGAGTTCAGTCATGTAACACTTTGCTTGTCTATGAAGGACTGACCACTGACTATTTAAAGGCAAGGTGTGACACTGTGCCTTCTGACTGGCATAGTCAGAGGTAGAACACCAGTGCAAAGATGTGGGGATCTGTTTCAAATAGGAGAAGTCGTATGTTTTTTACTGAATGTCTTTCATTTCTTAAATTTCTTCCTCTGGCAGAGATTAATAAGCAAAGTTGCAGCACATTAAAATATGCACATTTCAAATATGCGTGAGAACCCTTGGATATTAAAAAAAAGTCCAGGCAGGATGCACCAATCTTATTGGGAAAAAAATAATTTATTTTGGATTCATTGGATTTTGAAGCTCTTTTCCTTGTGCTGTGCAACAACAGTGTTTACCTGAGCCTGTGAGAGATCAAGGGAGCTTCTGTCACTCTCCCCAGCAACCTGCTTCTACTACACACTGGAAAATTACAGAATTTCCAGGCAGCTAATCCAGCTCTGCCTCCCTATTGCTAAAGACAATCTGTTCCAAAAGAGACAGAATGTCACAGTGTTGTAAAAAAATTGTAGACTGGAAAACAAGTTTTGGTTGTTGAGTTTTTTTAACAGTGGAAAATATTTCACTATAAACTGTATATCTAAGTATTGATAGTGTAGTCAGCTCTGGATTTCAGTCCTATTTCTGTATGTTTTAATGCATATTGTGATGCAGAATTTTTATTGATGCAATATGGAGCACTTCAGGGTATATTTTGCTCCTATTAACATCCAGTGATTTAGACAATAATCTGCAATCATCCCCCCCCTAGCTCCCTGTGGCATTACATATCAGACTGCATGGAAGGGAGGCATTTAATACGAATGTGAGCAGCAGAATGTGATACTTACGGCACAGTCATCATTGAAACAACTTGTGACGATTTTGCATTTTGCTGTCAAACTGCGAACTGCCACAGCATAACTATCGCTACACATTTCTCTTTTCGGCAAATGAACTGCTTAAATTCGTAGATTTTAAATCTGAGAACAGTATCACGATAATCTAGTTTGACTCATCCATAACACAAGACACAAAAACTTACTAACAGCATCCTTTATCATGTTGCAATTTCTGCCTAAGCTGTAATATCTTCTAGGAATACAACCAGCCCAGATTTAAAATTCAGTTGGATATACTGCAGTCTACAGTGCATGTTAGGTGAACAGACATTCAGTGAATTTGCTGTTGAAGAGGGCAATTTTATTCTCAGTCTGAACTTGCACAGTCATCTATTCCCTGGATTTTGTAATGGGTTTGGGTTCTTCTTTTTTTTTTTTATTAGATGAAAACACCATTTTCCTCTCAGTAGTGCATAAAGGCTTGAATAGCACTCAGTAGCTTCACCATATATGGTCTCTCTCTATAGGATATGGACTTCAGTGCTGGACCTTCCTCCTGACTCGTTTTTATATTCTAACATTTTCTGTGGAACTGTAGGCAGTAGATGCAGGCAGATTCATGATATTGTGATGCTGAGTGCTGCAGCACGTATACCATAAGTGTCAAATGCCTAGCAGCAGTCCTGAGATAGCACTTCTGTTGGCTGCAAGGTGCAAGGGGGAAGCTGGATGCTCAAGATCACAAGTTTTAAAAAACAGAGAAAAGAGTGAGCCACTGGTCAGAGAGCCACCAAAAAGAGCTGATAGGAAATGCTGAAGAGAAACATGAGGTGTGAGCTCAACAGCAGGAATACCTAAAGATGGCTGAAGTCTGTAGTCTCAAATCCTCCACTGGAAGGAAGCATCTAGATTAACCCTTTCCCACATAACACAGAAGCAGAAAATGTAACTTTTATCTACTTGCTCATTGTTCCTTCTTCTGTAACTGCCAGTATTCAGAATATTTGATATAAGTACCCTGAACCAGTCTTATCTCAAACCGCTCAGTTTTGTGAGGAAAACTGAATACTCTTCTAATCACTTGAGGAAGAGCATGAGTGATTTTTTTTTTCCAGCCAGGCTTGTGTTCTCATCAATAATTATCCCATAAGATCTCTTTGGTTGGCATTGTTCACATTAGTGCCCTTTGATTCTTTATTGATTGCACCCCATGTCAATCTTCTCATACTTCCACAAGGATTCAGTGCCCTGTCATTCCTTACATCATCCTTTTCAAGATCTTGGCACAATATTTGACAAATATTTCTGGTTTTCTGGAGCTGCTCCAGCCTTCCATTGCTTGTCAAATCCAGTGTTCTTTAGAGAGTTTCTCAGTTAATTCTTTAAATACTCCTAAAAACAAATAGTATGACCACATTTAGAAACCATGTAATTTTAATAACTGAGGTTTGATATCCTCCCCTGTATTTGATGGAATATGAAGTGTTTCTTTACCACTGCAGTAACGGCAAGTGGTTCAGAGCTGCATGTTGTCTGTTTTGCCGTCACCTTCACCAGTATTTTCTGCAATAGGAATACTAGGTCTAATGTCAAATTGAACTTTATTGTTAAAAGAACTAGACTTTGTTGAGCTTTCCTGAACAAAAGGTGCCCAGTTTCAGTGGAAAGCTGAATTGATCCTTTGAAATGAGCTTTGCCATTCTTTGTGACACCCCTCAGGCTGTGTCCTTCCGGATAATGACTTCCCAGAGCCTCCAAGTGACTCGCATCCAGTGTTTACTCCAGACTGTTATCCTGTCTGTCTGTTTCAGCCTGACAGAAACATCTTTTCCTGTCCTGTAATGATCAGGCTGGCCAGATAGAAATGGAAGGCAGCCTGAAAGACTGAATTTTAGGAGTCACGAGTCATGACTAGCAGGTCAATTTGTCTGGTTGCCTGATTATTTCTGTACAGTTGATTATGAGAACTGGCTACAAACTGCCCAGAGACCTTTTAAAAGCTTTATCTTATTCTGCTGTCAAATTCTAGGATACTGCAGTAGTACTGTCTTGCTGCTGAACATTTCCTCTATCACAGAATATTCTGTCCTGTCCTTGCCTTCCTTCTCAGTAGTTGCAGTATTTCAAATCTCCTGTGTTAACTTGTTGCAACTGCACAACAGTGACATCTTCCTCAACAACAGAATATTTAAGAAGGTCACCGTGTTTAGCAAATCTTCTTTATCCTTATTCACATTTTTATATGACACAACTAAGTTTCTGTATATTAATTTTTTTGCTGCCTCATCTATCTTTAGCAATGTTAGCAACCATGGACATATTCTCAGTTACTAGCTGGAGTCTACTCTAAATTCCCTTATTGATTTTTCAGCATTCAAACTTGTAATTGACTAGCTGAGCCACTTATTTGGGGGCTGTCATGTTACTGACTTTGTCCCATTTCAGGGCTAATGTCAACACAGCAAAAGAAGCTTTATACCCACCCTGTTAGATGACACACACCTGAGCAAAAATTAATATCCTCTGAACCTGAAGATTGCTCCAATCCCAGAAAATCCAGGATTTGGACAAAGGAAAATGTGAATTTTCTGAAGTTGCTTTTATCCAAGGCTAGGTGAAAGGAGGACAGCAGAGCAGAGCTTTCTGCTCCAGTGGGGTAGAGGTGTTGCTCCAAAGCCCAGCTGCTCCCTTGCCAAGTCCCAGGCAGCAATTGGCTCTGATGCAGGTTTTGTCACACACAGCCCTGGCTCCCCTGATATCTGACCATGGACTTGCTCGCAGTAAGGAGAAGAAGGATTTCACAAGGCAAGGGAACTCTTCAGGAAATATAATACCTTCCCAGCACCCGAGCAAGGCAAATTGCCAGGCAGAGAGCAGCTTCAGCCTGCAGCCCCACAGCATGTCACCTGGCCCAGTGTCCCATTAGCAGCGGGATTTCTGTTCAAGATTCCCCCTCCGTCTCTTTGCATGCCTTCATAAGCCCAAAGAAAACATGAAACAATCTGGCAGGGAAGTATTTCGCTAGCAGAAGGTACACTCTCTTGAGCTCTGTTTCGTGAATGCACTTGTATCCTCTGTTGCTTGCTCACTACTTTGCAAATTTACCAAAAAATTATCAGAATCAGAAGGTCATGTAACTGCCCTTACAACATATGTTGAGATGCTGCTGAAAGCTGTCGTTGCTGAAAAGTGACAGTTTTTTGACTGATATATCCTGTTCCTTATTTTTCTGAAAGCAGAATATGAAACTAGAGAGTAATTTGTACAATTCTTAACATTGTATGTATCGACAATGTCAGCAGTCAGATATGAGAACACAGTAATAGCAAATTATTGCCTTTATTGGTAACGAAGAATTTTTCATAGGTAGTTAATGCAAAAATACATTGTTTCAAGCAAGATCTATCTTGGCAAAAAAAAAAAGCTAAAAAAAAAGGAGTAGGCTACTAGTTAGAATTATAAATTGTGTTTAGAAGAGTTCTATGCAAATATCACATGAACAGATTCAAACATATTCAAAATTTATAGTATCAGTAGCACTGAAAGCACAGAATAAAATGACTTTTTTTTTTGGTAAACAGGTTTTATGACAAGATATGAAAGAAAACTTTTTGATGAACTTAAGTCTCCCCACCTGAAATACTGGGTACCATTTGTGTGGTTTGGAAATTTGGCATCAAAGGCACGAAAAGAGGGAAGAATTCGAGACAGCGTAGATCTGCAGACACTGATGAATGTAAGTAGAAAAAGTAAATCTACAGAAAACTAATCTGAAATTGCTATGTGGTAGCTTTTCACTTACATAATTGATTTTATTTAATGTGCACAGATCTCCTGTGTCATCTAAATTATCTTACTCAGGATTTATCCCACTTTTGATTGTGTACCAATGTACACTCAAACACACACAGCAGCAGTCTGCTGGGATTCTTTTTATATGAATAAGAAGGTATTAAAAGAAGCAATAAATTGATGAATAAAATATTATTGTAACATCACTGTAAGTTCATACTTGTTCCGTTGCTGAGAATATGAGAAATGAGAATAATGTAGCATTTTGAAGATTTTAATATCAGTTACAGGGAAGATAATCTCCCTGAATATTTCATTAAGTGGTAAAACATCCTTTTTATGATATAATATATTCTCTTTCATGTATCACTAGGCTGGGGATAAGATAGAAACAGAAGATAGTTTGTGAAGAAATACATAATATACTAAGCATTCCAACTCCATAAACCAAGTGAATATTCAAAAGGGGTGCTGGATATAGTTATGGTATCAATTTATATATACTAGACTTCCATATCTCCCTGTCCTTTTTATATGTGCAAAAATGAACGGTCACAAAATATTTATAATTCATAATGGTACCCCATGCAATTTTATTTTGTTGGAGTTTGTTGGGTTTTGTTTGTTTGTTTTTCCCCTTTAGGAGATGAATAAATACCGGTCTTGGTGTAGTCTTTTGTTTGGTTATGATTGGGTTGGAATTCCACTGGTCTATACCCAGGTACTGAGCTATTTTCCTTTAGTAAATTCGAAACACGATTTCCAGAAAGGGGAGGTTGGTACAAAACACTCATAGTCTCAACCAGAGTCTCTGAGCTATGGAGCACTGGTGCACTCCTGCAGGACCATGGAGGCCTTGCTAACTATGTAAGTCATATTTAATGCAGAGATGTTTTGAAGATCTTGCATAGTTTGGAAGAGGGGAGGGAAGCACTGAAATGTTTTTATGTTTCCTGGGTGTTCTTCCTGGCCATAATTATACCTGTGGCCTTTCTATTTCCAATACCTTCCTACAGATTCATAAATTACATGGTAAAAGGCAGTCACAGGCCTTTGAGTATGTGTTGCTTTGTGCATAAGATTGTATTATTCCAATGTATTATTTCAATGAAGTTTTGTTCTTTGCAGGTTGTTACTCTCGCAGTCTATACTTTTTTCTTTGCCTGCCTGATAGGGCGCCAATTTTTGGATACTGACCAAGGGTATCAGGGCCATGACTTAGATATTTACATTCCAATCTTCACACTGTTACAGTTCTTCTTCTACGCAGGATGGCTCAAGGTAAACCAGCTTTCTGGAAAGGTGTTGGGGGAACCCTCTCTATGGGGCTCGTCAAGGTGTCAGATCTGTGACACACTGTAAAATCACCAGACATTACTGGAGTTACACCAAAGCTGAATTCAGCCCTAAGTGTTCTGTGGTCATATAGACACATCACGCAATACACCTTTAATTCCACCTGATTGTACAGTAAGAAATGGTCATGAACCTGAAAGAGCCCATTTGAGTAGCACCAATGCAGCCACAACACCGCAAGGGAATATTACCCAAAAAAATCAGATCTCAGGACCTGGCCTATAAAACAACAGATGAAAGATAAAAAAAAAAACCTTTCTCCCACTCCACTGTTCAGTGGGGAAATACTGCTCCAGACCTGGCATTGGCTGAAAGGGACTGAATCATAATTTCTTCTTATAATCAAAGCCAGCCTCTAATATCGGCTGTTAACCTCATCAGATGCAAGCAATTAAAGGTCTCCAGTTCCAGGGGGCTATAAAAGAATGGCAGCCAATATTGGCTACAACTCCACTACATAAAAACATTCATTAAAAACATTTATAGAAGGAATTGGATGCTGCCCATCAGCCCATTGACGACTGCTAGGTTAACATATCACCATCAGTCTGATAGCTGAGTAATTAAGCCAGGTATCTCAAGGTGATTCTCTCCTCTGCAGTAGAGTAACTGGAAAAAAGTTTCAAATAAAAATCAAATTGGTACATAAGGGTCTGTGCACATTAATATTTCCTTTTGTGTTTATTTATCATGGCTGGAAACTTAGAGGAAGCTTCTCACTTTTCTGTCAGAGGAAACTTCTGACTTTTCTGTTAGAATACACATTGCACAAAATTTGCCAGTTTTAGAGACCCTTCCCCCACCCGGCTCCAAAGAGTAGAGTACGGAAGACAGCATACCAAGCTGGCAGGTTGTGAGGGAGGCTGCAGGGCAAGCTACTCTAATCCTGTGTCATAGGAAATCAGGGGGAAAAAGGGGGTTGCTGCATAGGAACCATCCCAGACAGGAGCAGCAGAGAGAGGAAGGGAGGCTGGTGCACTGAGGGTAGCAATTTCTCCTGGAGAAAAGTGAGGCTTTACCTCTAGGCAATGTCTTCCAGGGTTTTACTAGTGGGTTACAAAACTAAGCTGTTCCTCTTGACTGCCCTTCTGGTGCTCTTGAGGGGCAATGGTTTCCCCTTCACCAGCACCGAAGGATGTTAGAAGCATCTCTTCCAGTTAGGCTCAGGGCTTGCAGCCAACTCCCAGCTACAGCAGGTATGAGATGCCACTGTAACTGAAAAATCTTCTGCATAAGGAAATGGAAGGGAGGAGAAGAAGTTTTAAAAAGCTGATTTGATATCAGCAGTGTTTCCTCAGACCGGAGGTTCATCCAAACCTTCAGTGCCCCGAGTCAGGATATTTCTGTCTTGAAGGTTACAGTCGGTTTCCTGCTGAGTGTGTTGGCCTTTGGCTGCCAGGCAGCAAAAAGGGCCCTGAGATATTGACTTCCAGTAATTTGGCAATTCCTCAGAAATAATGGATAAACTGAGCTCATTCCTTGGCCTTGAGCCTGACCTGTTATACCTACAGTACAGGGCCAAAGTTTCCCATCAGGTGAGACACTTCTAAATCCCCATTTTCATTACAGGCATAGATGGACTGTCCAAATACAAAGTTTAGTTGACCAGCACTACATTCCTTTCTGGAGAATAAATCTGTGTCTCACATTCCAGGATCAGGTCAGCCAAGCAAAAGGCCACCAGTGCTGTTCCTTCTGTCCCAGTGCTGCTCACTTTTTTAAGCTCATGTGATAGGTTTTTTTGGGTGGTGATCTCTGCTTCACACAAAGCTGATCCAGAGCCACAGCACAGACTGTGTTCTGGTTCCTTCCTATTGCAGCACTTTCATAGCTATACCCAGAACTTAATAACATAGGCCCGGTCAATGAGTATGAGCAGAGGTGCCCACATCTTTCTTCATTCCTCCTTACATGTGTTTTCATAGGGTTAGTGTACTCAATAGGTCCTTTGTTATCTGCCAGCGCTGGCCTGGGAAGTGGTGGCCTGGAAGAGTCAGCTTACCCATGGGCACAACCTAGAGACACGTAGGAAAAATACCCAGGGAGCAACTACCTTACTGTTATATGTTATTTAGAGCATAGCTGTTCATAGTGAGGTTAATGAGCAGGACTGTTTAATCATGCAGCTTCTTTGCCCATATGCACATTAAATCAATGATTGATTGCTGCTTCTGGTCCTGGTGACCACTAGGAAGGTTTGGAAGGGTCATCAAGAATGTGATTGGCTTCAAAAGCAGGGCTTAGAAAGATAAACAGAAGGAGAAAAGCATGGAAGGGAGAGGGTATTTAACCTCAGCGTACCAAGGAAGTAAGAAATAGAGAAGCAGACTGCATTTCCTAAAACCTTTTTTTTTTTAATTTTCCTGTTTCATCCTTTTTTTTCCTCCCTCAGCAGCTATGCGCTTTCTCCCCACAATGTACTTTGGTGATCATGGGGATGAAGAGGCAGTCTCTGGTGGTTTTTCTACTGGATGAGGACAGCCAGAGAGGGTTCCCTTCCCAGGCTCATTCCCAGAATAAGGTGCCTTACCACCAAGGTGCCTGAGCTCACTGTTTGCTTATGTCCTCCACAGGATGGGCTTCTGCCCTGCAGTTTCAATCTCTTCAGGTAGAGAAACCCAAGCCAGAAGGCTAAATTAAAGAACAGACTCTGATTCTGTCTCTTGGATTTGGCTAGCATGATGCATGGAGTCTGCTTGAGTCAAGGTTTTTGTGGGCTGCTTTTCCTGAAAAGCTGTGGAAGGGTGCCATTAGGATTAACCCTGATAAAGAAGCAGGGTCTGAGGGCTGAGCTGGAGAGCCAAGCTCCACTCCATCCAGCAAACTCCAGCTGCGAGGGTTGGGAATACTGACCCAATGGGCTGGTAGACTATCATAGATAATAGTGCAGTAACAGAGCCCCTGGCTGCTAAACCATTTATTTAAATGAGCCAAAGACAACAGTAAGAAAAGGTAATGACTATCTTATGTGACAATTACCATGGGCCAGACATGTCTCAATTCCCAGTAGGTCAGCACCAACAATCATGACTGACAGCACCAGCAAGGCAGAGAGTTACGAATCTATAGGGAAAGCGAGCTCTTCCTTTGCTAGGCTGGCAAAACCATCAAACAGGAAATCAAGCTATGACTGCAAGTGACAGGCAGGGAGAGAGAGAAAAATCCAATCTTACTTTCTCTGCAGCAGTAGTCCTGACATGGCATTCCAACCTCTCTTCACTGTCTCATTTTCTTTTCAGGTTGCTGAACAGCTTATTAATCCATTTGGAGAAGATGATGATGATTTTGAAACTAATTGGTGCATCGATAGAAATTTACAGGTTGCTGTTGTTATTTCTACTTCCCACTTTACTGTATGATAGGTTATCATTACATTTAACCCTATTTCTTAAATCGAGGTACAAATTAGGGCACCAAATGTCAGCAAAACAAATTCTTTCCCTGAAGGTTGTGATCCCCAGAGTTTGTTTAGGCAAGATAATTCATCTTGATTTTGGCATTTGGTGTTTATGGTGCCTGACGAAACGTGCAAATGGCTGATCTCAAATTATAAGATCACTTTATGCCTGGAAGAACATGTAATGTAGGTCAATCCTGCAAAATCCAAAAGCCGTTCCCACATAGATAAAAACACATTTTGCTAATCTGAATGTCTTGAGATTAAAATATTGCATGTGAACCTTCCTTTAAAAAAAAAGGCAGTGAAAATGTTAAAAAGACCAAGCAGGGCCCTGAACTAATAAGCAGGACCAGTACCATTCATCTTTTGATGCTGCCACCCACAGCAGCATCTGTGGTTGCCACAGAAGCCAGTGTCTTTATTGGCAGGAGCTGCGTGATGACCAGAGTACACATTTATTGCAGATACCCCCAATTCCCAAACAGCCCCGTCTGTTGTGCCGTGAAGGAGCTCAGAGACATGAGAAGGCACCTGCTGCTCCCCTTGCATGGAGCCAAGCACAGGGCTGGGTGAGCTGCTGTGGGACTCCACTTTGGCTGAGGACCACTGAGACAGCAAAGCAGAGCCCGGGAGTTAGAGGGAGCAAGGGCAGGCCAAGCAAACCACCATATTAACCAAAGTAAGCAATGCAGGTGTGCACAGGAGTGGGAAAGGACTTCATACTACCAAAGATGCTCTCTGGCTTAGCACTACTTCAGGGTACTCATGCTACAGTGCCTTACAGCCTCTTATATAAAATATATCAGAAGGTCCTAGAACAGGATGGTCACATACTTGGTTCTGAATGTCTTAAAATGGGGATGAAGCTTATCAGAAAGATTCTTGACCTCCAGACATTTTAAGGAGCACAGCTAATACTTGACACAAACTTTTCATAACACATGGAGGATCACATTTAACTACATCACGCGTATGGAAAGGACTGCAATCTGACATAAATATCTCTGCAGTACAGAAGACTCAAGTTACAATAAAATTTACACTTTTGTGAATATAGGTGGATATAGGGGGTTTATTTTATAATACTGAGTCTCTTCCTAATGCCCAGGCCATCACACAGAGCTTATGTTAAAGGGTTTCTGAAAGAAATGTTGACCCAGGGAATATAAAGCAGAGTATTTCATATACTGTACTATGCTGAAAGTGACATAATTTATATAAAAAAAAAAATCTAAGGTCTCACTTCTGGCGGTGGATGAGATGCACATGAACTTGCCAAGGATGGAGAAAGATATTTACTGGAATGATTCCTCTGCTCGGCCTCCCTACACAAAAGCAGCTGCTGATTACTGTATTCCTTCATTTCTTGGATCGACTATTGAAATGGGGTGAGTGGTACTAAGGTCCTTAATCCCATCAGAAAGATCACCACCTCTACAGCCCACGCTGATTGACGGATAGTCAGCACAGGCTGGGACGATACTGCAAGCAGGGGAGATGGAGATGGAAATGGAAAGTGATATTAGGAGGGAGTGGACAGGCTGGTGTTGGTGGGATGACGTCTCCAGTGGTCCATGTGTACATACAAATCGTGCACACATAGCTAAATCGTATAATTAGTAAATAGAGCATGTTTGCAGGGAGAGTTTATTGACAGTCTCTGAGCACTGGATGGCACCTGAAGACAGTGATTGACTTTTCTTAATAATACTTTCTTTACTACAGCTGCTTCATACACCCCCAATTAGCAAAATAGCTATTCCTTTGCTTATTTAGTTAGCAAATGACAGCTAGAATCAGTCCAGATTTTTGTGAAGATCAACAAAAAATCATCTTAAATGTTGTATGACTTTTCACTGACTAATAATCTGGGCATGCAAGTTGGAGCGGTCAGATATTGTGAAGGGATGAAGAGGATTTATTTGCAGAGATCAACATAAGAACCATTGTTACAAAGAAACATATAGAGGATATAGGATTGCCCCCTTTTGTTGGGATCTATTTGAGCAATTAGTGATAGGCCAGTTGGTTTAGAAGCTGTTACTTTAAATAATTGTGACACAGTAATATAGACAGGTCAGTAAGTGTAAATCCTATCATGACTGAACAAATACCAGGCAAGTAGATGTTCTTATCTGCAAATCTTTTCTAAAACTTTGCAGTAGCCATTTTGTTAACTTTAAAAATTATCTCAAGATGTTTACAATTTTCCCATCATTTCCCGCCTTTATCAAAATAAAAGGTGCTTAATTTTTTTGTTTCATTTGACCCCAAAATTGTTGGTTTCTCATTTTTATTCCTCTTATTTTTTCATTTTGCATGCATCCTACTACAAAGGACAATGGGTTTATATGAGTTCCTCTTATTACAATCAGCCTCTTCAGAATTATTTACTTCTGGAAAAACTATAAAATGCCAAAGAGTAAAGTAAAGATCAACATTAAAAAAATAAAGAAGAAAAACTTATAGAATATAATTTATTTTACTGCAATTGCTAGGGGGGAAAGGTTGCAAAGAAGAAACATTGTTAAGTCTGCAAAAAATCTTTTTAATAAGAAGGACTTCTCACAAAATATGAAGGAAGGAGTGAATAAAAAATAGATCCCTGTTATCCCTGTGAAATGCAAACAGCTCTGATGTGTTCACTTCTTATTATTTTCTCATCTGAATTGTTTCTCTGTTTATATCTCTAAAAATAATGAGTAGTTCTTATGCAGACTTCAAAAACAAGTTCCAAAGATTCATCCAAGTCCAAAGCAAATATACAAAACTTGAGCCCAAATCCAAAGCCTTCTTCATTCACCTCAAGTAGACATCTGGAACAGGTTGCCCAAAGAGGTGGTAGATGTCCCATTCCTGGAAACATTCAAGGTCAGGTTGGATGGGGCACTGAGCAAGCTGATCTAGTTGAAGCTGTCCCTGTTCATTGCGGGGAGGTTGGATTAGATGGCCTCTAAAAGTCCCTTCCAACACAAACTATTCTATGATCTTCACAAATGCTGGATGAAATTCCTCTGTCCCTCCAGGGTAGTGTTGCCTTGCTGTGCTCCTTACCTTATATTAGGCCCAAGCCTCTTTGCCATTCTTGCCCTTAGGACTGATAACTAGGACAGTTTGGCTTGTCTTCTGGGGTGCACAGAGTCAGTAATGTGTACTGAATTGACTGGCAGGTGCAGCAACAGTTGTTCTCATGAACCACCAAGGCTGTACAGGAGAAGAGCACCAGGTACAGGTGAGACATTCAGACACATTATCATGCCCCAGAAGTGAGATTTGGCCATCTGAGTAATTCCAACATTTTTTGAAATTGTTGCACTCTGCTTCCAGCAGTAGCTTTTTCATTGCATTTAGTTTTGACAAAAGGATTCTCCTGAAAAAAACTACAGCATCAAGTGGGACTTCTTTCTCCCCTTTCTCTCACTCTAAGCACAAGTGTAACCACGTGGAGCTGCCTCAAAGGGCTGCAGCCCAAATATGAAATGGTGCCAGATGCTTGGCTGAATGCTCTCCCAGCCTGGTCCTCAGGAGAAGAGGCACCTGGATGTTGAGAGCTCTCTGTGTGATCTGGCTGGTTCAAAGGCACAGGCACTATTTTCTGGCACTCTCATCCTTTTCACGCTCTTTCTTACAGACACACTAGGGTCTTGGTTCCTATGTCTTCCTGCTGAGACAGCAGGATATATGTGCATAAAGACCTAATACTTCCTATACATAAGTGACACCTACTACCTGGCTTTATTTGGCAGGCTGGCTGATACCGAATTCCTCTACGGGGAAGAGTGGCCCTGGGAAGAGGAGAAACACCGAAGACAGTATTCAGTGTTAAGAAGAGTCAAGAGATTTCTCAGCGTCCACGAAGGTCCTTCATACCCCACTCACCGGCGCTACAGTCGGCAGACAAGTGAGAATTCGGTGTTTTTCCCAGCAGATGAAAAGGGGCACATCAGACGGCTGCAGGAAATGCACAAAAGAGGGAGGCACTCTGCCTCAAGCTTCAAGAAGAAACATGAAGGAGTTGACAGAAGTAACAGACTTCATAATAGCCGAGATCTAGGACCCATAACTGAAACCTCAAGGAATGAGGCACAGTTTGGTGACAGCGACACCTCATCTGAGACAAACAAGCCAATTCCTGAGGTCATCATCTCTGAAGCCGAGGAAAATGCACTTGGCATGCTGGACAAAACAGATCTGCCAACAGAGCGCTCTGCAAGCATGCCGGAAGAGAAATTCCAAAGGATCCTAGGCAAGGCAAATGTGACTCTTCTGAACCAACCTTTTTTCCCTCTGGAAATGACTACATACATCCCAAGCTCAGAGGCGCATCAGTCACTTCCTAGTTTGATAGGAGAGCCCAAACATGAGCTCCATGGTAGTAACATTGCTGGTCTTATAACAGATCATGAGAGAAACCTTCAGCGATGGAGTTTACCAAGCTTCCATAGTCCTAGTACAGCACCTAGTACAGCTGACAGTGCACCACCTTTAGCAGATTCCAGGACAACTTCACAACAAAAGACCTTCAGTGATGGAAACAATGGTACTTCTGCTGCTGCACCAGAGATGTTTGAGATGCAGCACTTATGGGAAAACATGGACAGTAAAGAAACAGCCATAGTAGAATTTTCTAATGAGGAAAGTGAAAGAAAACTTTGACCATGCTTCCTCTGGGTTTGACTGAACTTCTTGTCTTCTCTTGAACGTAGTTCTCATACAGATTTGCTGAAAGTGCAGAAGGGCAGACTTGATGCTCAAACAAGTCCTGAGCAAGATCCAACAGAGGATTTGAGACCTAAATAAGAAGCATTGTGGTGACATATTTTAAGCCACTTGTTCGTTAGCTTGAAACCCGTGACCTTGTGGGGAAAACATTTACCAGGAGAACTGGGAGCCCCAGGGGTGGATGCAAACCATCAGTGCACAGAACAGCAAGCTGCATAGGCTCAACTAGAGGAAACACTAAGGTTATCAGAAGAGCGGAGATGGTTCTGTCCACTTTGGATCCACACTGAACACTGCTGCCTTTGTCCACTCCATCAGGATCAAGTCCATGACATCCTTGTAAGACCCATGAAGACTTTTGTTTTCTATTTGAGTGGCTCAAAGGCGAGCTGTGGGCTCAATTCCCTCCTCAGCTTGGAGAGATTCAGCCCACCATCTCTTACTGCCTGGAGGAACACTTGAAAAATCAGGCTCCTCATTTGTGTAAGACAATAGCCTGCCCCGCTCTTGCTGAAGCTATGCCACTGGAAAAATAAAAGGATTAAATGCTTAAGTTCATTAAGAAAAATGGAAGAGGCAAAATAGGTCATGGGAAGTCTCAGTCTTGGTCTTTGCTCCCTGGAGCACGTATGTGGCATACCCAGTGTCTGGTTATTGTAAAATGAGGCTCCCAGGTGGCCTCTCTCATGATGACAGGGCTGTGGCACTCTCTCAAGAGGTGGTGGAGGTGCAGGGGCAACTGAGCTTAGAGCTCCAGTCTTGTGGAGATCTTCAGCTGGAAGTGCACAGGCTACAATCATCCCAGGCAGACAACAAAATGGCCCAGGACCAGTAGCAAAATTGCTTTCCACTTCCTTCCCCTGCCTCCTTCCCATGCTTCCAGACACACCACACACATTCTCCATTAATCCAAATCTGCGCCAGCATTAGGTGGCTCCTGCTGCTCTAGGGGTGGCCAAGCCACCTCCCTAAACCTCCTGGTAGTGACCTGGCCTTTCAGCTGTCACTCCTGCAATGTCTTAAAGCAGGCTAGGAAAGCAGCAGCAGCTCCTTGCTTTTAGCTCTTTATCCACATTTACAAAAACACAGTCCAGAGCATGTCACCAGCATTCTCCCATGAGTAAGTATCTAAGTAGATGGTCTCCCTGGAAAAGGGGGACACCAGATAGCTCAAGGGATGGAAAGAAGAGAGAGAAGGGGAGACACAGAAAATTATGGGTCTGCAACAGCCAGCAAAAGCAGTATGGACTGTACGGACAGCAAGTCCACCCAGCTCTCTTGCCCAAAAGGTTGCACTTCAGACAATAAACCAGGACCTCTGCCAGGGTAACTGTAGCCTCAGTGGCTTCAGGGAGTCCTTAGGACTCCCTGAAGCTGGGAAGGAGCTCCTGCTTCTCTGGATCACAGCTTAGGTGAGGAGCCCTTCCAGCAGGCTATCACATAGAGCAGGACTCTGCTATCTCATCTGGGTAGTCTTTGAACAAAAATCAACTACCCTTCTGTAGCAAGCCAGCGTTCCATTCTCAGCCTCCCACTTCTACTTCTTCCAGCGTTATTTCAGTCTGGGAATTGGATCCTGCTAGTGTGCATTAGGCAGAGTATGAGCAGAGCCACCCTTTCAAATCCTTCAAAGACACTTGAAAAAGCACATGTATCCTGATCAGTTTAGGAAGCAGAGGACACTTGGCCCAAGGAAGAGCTGTTTAAACTCCTATTATGTGAATTCTAGGTATGCAGAAAAGCCAAGCACAGTTTTCCCAGGCACCTTCGGAGGCACTTCTTCACACCATGAGATGAGGTGACACTGGTGTCTGACAGCAGCTTAGTGCAGGTTAATCACACTTTGGAGTGAGGCGTTCTGGTGCAACCTCACCCTTGCCACTACACAAGTCCTCAGGCAAATGAAGTTACTATGTTCAGATTTGACCAACAAAATGAGGAACTCTGTGAAGTGAAATTATGTTGAAATAAACAGCATCTTAGCCTAGCAGTCCAATTTTCTGAACGGCCCTTCCTAGGCAATACTCAGCTCTGGAAGCATTGCCTCTTTCCTCCTGATTCCCTGTTTCTTCTTGTAGCTGAAGCCACACTTTTCTATTCAGTATTTTCTCAGTTTACTTACATCTGCAACTGTCAATTTACCAATGAGGTTAACTTCAACAAATGATAAATTTGAAGTATAAACAATACATTTTAAGGATACCCAGAGAGCTCCAGCTAGAAACAAAGTAACTGTTGCTCTCCTCTGTAGCACTTTGTTCAGGTCAGGAAAGCAATACAAGTTTCTGGGAAGTTTGGCCATACACAGTTTGGCTGTGCATGTATAGGAAGGCTTTTCAGCAGCTGCGAAGAAAGTCTGGCCCATTATCAAGCTTTCTCCTTACAGTACATAAGGTTGAGGAACAGTGCTTCCCACTGTAAGGGAATTTAAACCAAAAATCAGAGATGACTGTGAAGTGTCCACAACGAATCTGCACTGAGAGTCCAGTCCCATCACACCTCCTCACTAATTCTTCACACAGCTTCCACCAGGGTTTAAGGTGTTGGAGGAAAGTGCTCTTCCTCCTCAACCCAGACATCTGCATGTTTCATCCCAGCACTGCTAAGCATGAAAGAGCCTTCCTAGCTTCTCATCATCCAGCTCTGCTCATCTCCCATCATCTTCTCAGCCTGGTCACTGCCTAGGATGCACACTACTGCTTTCAACCAGGACATTATACATTTCATTATACATCAGCAATGGTTTTACTGCCTCTCCCACTCACTCTGCCAGCACTCCCTGTTTTCATTCTTTGATGGAGGCTCAGAGTGGCCACACAGCAGCCATTAGACAGATAAAAGCTTCAGTCCTACAGATGTAGATGTGTGTTAAATTAGGAATGACAGCTCTGAAGTCACAGAGCACAGTCTGCAATAAGCAAGTAGCATTTCACACAGTGGACCAGCTCCAAGTTAGCTATAATGTTGTGCTCATTGCTTGTAAAGAAGCTAATGCCAGGATGAGTTACCAGAAACTCATCTCCTCATTTAGTCTGTTATCTCACTTTTGCAAACATCTGTGGACTCTGATTTGTACTACATTATCTTTTGGGATTATGTGCTCTCTTTTTTTGGAAAACTATTTGCCTTAGCATGGTAAATGGATTCTTTTAGCAGACCCAACAATCTACAATTCATGTTCACAGGTATAAGCAATGTTGAATTACTGCATGAATAAAGGCACTTTGAGAAGCACCATCATCTTGATTGCACTGAACTCTCAAGAAGCATTTCTGATAAAGGTTTGACCTACCATGCAAGTCAACTTGATGTCTACCAGGAACAATCACACAGATTACAAAAATTGGCAAAGCTAGAAAAGGAGAGAATGGGGCCAGGTTAGGTCAGAGCAGCAGCTTGCTCCTATCAAACGGTGTTAATCTCGAGCAGGATCAGATATATCAGAACAAAGAGAGGGCCAGTCCCTCTACGTGATGCCTGATTTTCCACCTATTTCTAGGTTGTGTTCACATTCCACACTGAAATTCATAGAGCCAAGACGTCAGTGCTGGGACTGATTGGTTGCAGAGACATGTCCCAACAACCTTAAAACCTTTGCCATAAATAACAGATTTCTGACTGCAAGCTCATGTTTGAGGAATATATAAGTATTTTAGAAATAATGGAAATGTATCAGAGGGTTAAGTCTGCTGCATAGTAGAGAAAACAAAAATACCCTGCTACTGTAAATGAGGAATAGAGCTTTATAGATGTTTGTTTGTCTTGTTTTATGACCAAACAAACAACATTTTCTAGATAAATAAGTTAGCTCATATAAGTTATCCATTCTTAAACAGTGATAAGGACAAAGGGAAATCAAGGTAAGATTGGCCTAAAATACATGATAACTTCACACAGCTCAATCTTGTCTGCAGAAAGAGACAGCTGGCAGCAAAGTCTTCTTTGCTGGAGGTTAATAGCCTGGATGCCAAATGTGTAACACAATGTGGCTGCAAATAGAGAGTCATGAAAACAGGCACAGGAGAGTATTTCATACTGGAAGGCAAGATCAGTATGTCAGAGATATCTACAGGCAAACTGTCTTGCTTTAGTAATACTTACCGAGTGTTACAACTGAAGCCTCAAAATCTAAGGGGCTGTGATCATAATACTGCCAAGGCCAGCAATGGGTGTTGACTTTAGTCTGTGCTAAGCACATCCAGGCAGATGGCAGCAGCAAAGCCCTGGGGGCCACAAACCCCTGTCCCAGCAATGCCACCATGGGGCCAGTCTCCAGCTCCCCACGGCTCTGCCCTACTGGGGAGGTGCCCAGTGCACAGGGCTGGGGCTGCGGACATTTTTTGGCTTTAGGAAGACGTATGCCAACATATCACATCTTTCCAATCCAGAACACAGAGCAATATGAATTTTCAATTGCTGTTACACCCTCTCCTCCCCTTCCTCTCCAGCACTGGAACCACTGAAAAAAATATAAAATGTAGCTGTAACAGCACTAGGACCAAAGCAGATTTTGCTTAAGTTTTATTCATGTATAGTGGTGTAGTATCAGTTTTAGCAATCCCAACAAATGCTCCAATGGATATCATTTTGGTGAATATTCTTTTGCCAAATCAGTGCAGCTGCCTGTGGCTGTTTCATCTGAAACAGCTGCCAAGGCTGACAAGAGGTGGTTGAGCAAGAGGCAGTAGATGTCTAGTGATGGTACACATCTGTGGTGGAGGGAGGGAACTGTACTATGCCTTTGCATTGGCTGCGATCTGGGTTTTGTAGTGTGAATAGATGCAGCTCCAGCTGCTCCCACCACCAAGGGACAGAGATGTCAGATGCTAAAAGCAGCATCTGACCTAAGATATGGACGTTAAATGCTGAGACCCAAAAGAAGAATAGAAAAATATCCATCAATAATAAACTTAAGGGGAAAAGCAGGTTTGAGTGATGGTGTAAGGAGCAGGAAATTGTGTGCAAGGAACAGTAGTGAAAATTAGTGGTCACACAGGTCACAGTCAAATTCCCCTTTATATAAGCTGGTTGGAGCAAGATAATTCAAAGAGAATTTCCTTGGCACTAAGGAAACAAAGTTAAGCAGAATCCAAACCATGGAAAATGATGAGGAAAAAGAAAGTTATAGGAAATGAGGCGGAAACTAGCAAACAAAAAGAAAAAAAGGATAGCCAGACCAGGCAGAACTGGGATTAGTTTCCGCCACTCGTAACTGCTGTCTTGTCAGACTGGCACTGTTCAGCATTTTTTTCTTCCTGATCTTTTGCAAATCTGAGTGCTGAGCTTTTCTGCTTTATCCTGAGAGCTGCGCTGTCCATCAGTTACTCAGGAAATATTGTTTCTTGGTTATAAACATATAGATATTGAACCAAACTATATCATTTGGGACAAAGATCACTGCAAAGTCCCTAAAACCTGGAGGGGGGCAAACACAGCATGCATTTAGGTCCGAAGTTTCAGTAAAATCCCTACTTCACACAGTATTGAAGATCATTACATTAACATTTGAGTTAAGACAGAATAGATGCTATTATGACTCAGTAGTAATCATTCCTGTGAACAGCTTTTGCAAATCCCACTCTGTCATTCCCACGGTCAAAAATGCAGTAAAATGCAGACATGAAGACATCTCCTAAAATCCATAGTGGGCCAGTGCGAGTGGGGATGTCGAGAGACTGAAAGCCACTCATGCAGAAGGTTTGGTCGTCAATAGACTCCTGAAAGGGAAAGCACGTGTCCTTGCAGCAGCCTGCTCCAGCCCCAGCTCGGGAAGCAAGGAATAGGGAGCAGGAGGCTGCAGATACAAACCTTTAGGATGTATTGTTCTGCTGTCAGCTTGTACTCGTGATGTCCTATCGTGAAGCTTATGTGAGGCAGGCTTGACAATCTTCTGCAGTCTACAAGAAACTGTATGCGATGCACTGATTGAGATGAGATCAGTTTGTCTTTTTTTAATTATTACCCTTCGAATTCAAGAGTTTTGCAGCAGGTAATGGTGAATTTACTACAGAGAAACAGCATCAGGCTGACTTATAGCCCAAGACTGCCCTCGGGCTTTCCAGTTCCTGTACTTGGTCAAACCAGCCTAGCAGCCCAAACCACTGCACCAAAGCCCCTAGGGACCCAGGGCTGATGAAAATCCCTGCAAATCCCAAAGGGAAGGAGGTGAAGGGGGACTCTGATGCCCTGCCTGTACAACTCAGAAAGAAAACTGAGTGTGTGATCCCCAGCAAGTCTACATTAGCAAGGTCTGCTGAGCAAAAGTCCACCAACACTCTGGCCTTGACCGGCCAGAGGGAGCTGCCTCCAGCCACACAGGAAGCACCCTATGGCTGCAGCTCACCACACGTCCTCCTGTAACACCATCATTTTAGGGAAAAAATAAGCTAGGGTGGAATAGAGCACTTTATACTTATACTCTGCCTTAGAGTGGAATTTAAAGAGCAGAAGGACTAAATTCTGGCATGGTCATTAATTTCCATAAATAATACATTCACTTACAGTAACACAGAAGATAATTTCCTGGCCTTTCTAGTTATTTCATGAAATAACTGGTGTGTTAAATGGTCCTGCAGAATGCTCCAAGTCTCAAAGGGATCGTTGTTATAAGCTGTAGTGTTTAAAGTCATTGTTTTAGAGGCTTCCTTGAAGGAAAAATCTGCTCTTTGCTGTTTTTCAATCTGCTTTATGAAACCATAACCCTTAATCTTGTGTACACTTACCAGGTGTCATACCATTAGAACAAAATAAACCATGGGATACAGAGGACAAGGGTAAAAACCGCCAGTATAATGGTTTGCAGGATACAAGAAGCAAGACATAATTCTTTTACATACAGAAAAAATTAATCTTTGCTGGAAAGAGATGAAAGTTCTCATAAAATCATTGATGGATACACTCATTTTTACTGGGATAAATTTGAGCCAATTTACTCTGTCTGTCTGTGATTGCTAAAAGATCAGTCATAGAAAGTCTTATTTTCAGGATACTTTTTTGCAGAATCTGAGATGCCAGCTGTGTTCTTATGCCAGCACTGGAGTATATAAACTTATACTGCAATGACCTGTTCCTTGTTTATATTATGTTAGTATAAGTACATTGGAAATACATATTTTATCTATATTCATTAGTGTGTACCAATATAAAAACAACTTGCTATCAAAGCATACTCTTTGGCATGTGTCTGAAAGAGTCCACTTTCATCTTTGCTCTTTGCCCAGTGCACTGGGCAACTGTAATACTCTTCATTTTCTTCCGAGAGCATTTTTGGGTCAGGATAAAGACAAATGCAAAGTTAACAGAACCCATATGGGGCAGCTTTACTTGGGGCACTGGTGCTGTGGCAACGTGCTAGTGATCTATGGGAGTCAGCCAAGGGCCAGCAATAAGGCACAGTAGAAGTAAGCTGCCCTTTCCCTGGAGGCAGGGATAGGAAGGAGTGGTGGGGAGCGTCAACAAGGGGGATGCAGGAGAGAGCAGCAGGTAAAGAGGAAGACAGTAAGGGGTAAGAGGAATAAGGTTCAGGAGGAAGAATAAGAGACAGCAAGTCTTGTCCTGCACCCTGTGACTCATCTGCCAGGAGCCACTGTTGTGAGTGACACTGATGCACACCCCTCCCAGGAGCCCTGCACGACACCACCTGCTCCATGGCAAGGTGACAATGAGAGGTCTTGCCAGTGAAGCCACAGTTGGGCTGTCATTTAAATACCATTCCCTTTCCATTTGATGCTGAAGTGGCTGGCCATCAGCACCAACCCCCTCCTGTCTTGGGAGAGCCAACAGCTATAACTGGAGACATTGAAAATCCTCTGATCTTCCAAAAGAAAATTATCTCTCATGCAGAGTACAGATCAATTCCTCAAACAAATGTACTCCCTATTTCCTTACATACCAGTTCTGAGTATGGTAGAAGAGGTGACTGTTTGGGAGAAGGCCTGGGGCAGTAAGGCAGATAAGTCAAAAACAGATTGGCTCTGAGTTCAGTGCTATTCTGGAAACAAGGCTTTTGTTGAGACCTTTCTAACCAATTCTTTTGATTATTTTCTCACCCTATAAGCTCTTTGCACCAAATACCAGTTTCCCTTCCCATCTGGCTGTTTTCTGTCTGTACAGTTTTTACCTCTCCAGTATTTGATGGACTTGCCCCGATATACTCCTGTAATCGCCTGATTTGTGAAGAGGGTCCAGTGATAAGAGAAGTGCCTGAGTCAACGATGGCTTCACAGCCATGG